TTTTTTATTAAGCAAGCAAATAATAGAATAATAATGATAACTTGTAACCAGGATGTTCAGTGTAGGATGTAAATTTGAGACATGTATATAGTAACCAAAGTTGGACATAGCTGTTAACGTATTGTGGGATTACAATGATATCAAGAAAACATGGGGAAATGTCAGAATGCTTACAACAAAAATTAGCACAGCACACCAAAGCACTAGTAAGTCGGTAGGGATAGGGATGGTGGCTCATCTCCATGATCAATGCTAATAAATGTAAATAACCTTTAACCTGATATTCCATGTGACAACAAAATAGTTGAAAATTTTCTATTTCTTAAAAGGCAGTGGGAATGGTGGCCATTTCATGAGGGTAGCTTTTCTGAATTTTTAGGGTGGAGTATCCTTCTAGATTTTTTGAAACACGCATTTCAGTTCAATCCAATAATTTCAAATTTCATGCATACATGTGTTTAAGAAACCTATTTGAGACTTGCGAGATCTAGGGTAAAGCTGTTAAATTGAGCATGAATTGGGATGGGAAGAAAAGGGGACATTTCTGCATATAAAATAACAGACCACTATACCAAGACGGAGAGAAATTAACAGAAATATTTTGTGGGCAGGGGAATAAGTTGCCAAAACGAAGGGTCTGATAAATTCTCTAACGGGAGGGCAGGTTATGAACGGCTTACAATTTCCCCTCTTTAGTAATAGTTTTTCTAGAACTAGTATTTTGTCTTGATAAGAACACATTTAAGGTACAGGACATGATTGCTTGCAATATAATCTAAAGCTACAGATAGCCCACAGCTGTTAATGTCTACACGATTGTTTCCAATGAGCCTGGACTCAATGCCTGGAAGACAGGATGACCTTATTGCATCTCATTTCACAAATACGCACCCTATACGTGCATTGTACTGGACTCCCCAGACAGATACAATAGGTGTTGTCATTGGTACCATTCAGTGTTTGGCACCGCTGAACAACACTTTCCATAACAATGATATATAAGGCTATTGCGGTCACCTATAAAATAATTTAGGAATATATAGTTCTTATTTATTTTAATATTTTCACTTAGTATTTATTTTTGATGTCGCTGTCATACTTGCTTCACAGCAGTATTCTTGTATATAACAATCCTTATAGTTTTTTTTTTTTTATTATTTGAACCTGAATTGAAATTGTCATCAAACATAAATTCTACTTAAAAGTTAAAAAAAAAACAGAATTCCAAAACTAGTGTTAACGTTCACACACACACACACAAAAAATCAAAAAAATTCTTAATCTTTCAAATTTTTGCTCAAATTTAGTAAAGACCAAACAAACAAACAAAATTTGGGGAAAATTTAC